GACTATTTTTTTTGACTTATTTTACCATTTATTGTTTGTTACCTTAAATCTAATTAACTTTTGACATAGATAAAGGAGAATTTTTGTGATAGGTTAGGTTATAATGTTTGGAACTATTTCAGTAGATTCCTTTGTAACTATGATTTCTGCCAAATATAACATAGTTAGCGTATAGTGTATGTAACCACAGCTCACAGTAAGACAGTTATTATTTATATTTTCTCTTCAAGGTGGCGGCCCCCAAATTGAAATTACATACACTGCAATTGAAGAAGCAATTCTTCAACTATTAGATCCAGCCTCTATACAAGGATTCCAGGGGATGTTGAAAGTGAAGAACCTATTAATGGTAATTCAGTCAAAATACTTTTCCAACCCCCTGATATATATTTTGTTCTTTTCTGTCCTTCTTTTTATTTAAAAAAAACTTTTGGAGACATTTTTTCACATCTTGATTTGGAAATACTGTACAGTATACTGATTTTTTATATAATTTTGAAAAATAACAACACTAGTAAGTTGGTTTCATTTCTAGCTTGTTTATTGCTTCCCTAAGTTATATATTAAATGTTGTTATAACTCGTATGTTAATGGACAAAATTGAGAAGTGCAAATATAAGAAATTTAACGCCTAGTTGATATTTAGATTTAAAAATATTTTAAACAAATATATTTAGATGGTCAACACTATTTTTCAAACCATCATTTTTCCTAAAAGCTTTTGTATATTTGGAAATAGTGTAATATTTTAATTATACTCTTAACATAGACTTCAATCAACCTATTATACTACATTTCTTTCCAGAAGAAGAAAGAGAACCAACCCCCGGACCCTCAGGAGCTAGGTTTACAGCTACCGGTAGTTGTTTCCGAGAGGAATTTATGTTTCGGCCCGTTCAAGAGAAAGATGATTCTATAACCCTCATTCTGAATGAGGATATACAGGAACATGATATCACAGTACCCATTGTGCATTTAGAACCTGAAACTTCAGCACCTACAAACATTCCTGGAATTTCATCATCCGGAACATATGAGGTAGAAACATGTAGTTCAAGCAATACTCGTCAACCTATTGCTGCTACCACGGAACAGCGAAGTAGGTCTAGTACCCCTTCTGCCACAGCTGTTAGGTCAACTGTAACTGGTGATTCCACTGATGAAATGGGTTCATCTCCAATGCCAAGTACGATCAGAAGTGGCAGGAGGCCACGAACCTCTTCTGCCCGAAAAGATGAAGATCTTCTTCGAGAGATGCTTCGTGTTCAAACACAAATGAGGGACAGTTTTTTACAGCTTGTAGCGAACACCGAGTGCATTGCAAGAGTTATGCAGTCGAAAAATCCTATCCAATGATGCTGTGTTTATGGTATGTGTATGAAGTCATCAAACACTTATTATAAATTTTCCTTTGAGTGATTGTTATGAAGGAAGACGGCATGTTAAAAAATTGTGTAACTTTCACTTGCAGCCTATACTAGTCATGAAAATGTAACAGGAATATTTAGCTCTCCATAAGTTCATTAAAATCATGAAGTTAAGTGAAAGACACACATTTGTCAACTAATAACATGTGTTGCAGTGCTACTACGGGTAATGTTTACCCAGGTTTTGGGTAAAAGTTCCGACCACACTCAAAATTATATGTTTGAAAAGAGGCTCATGTACTTATTTTTATTTTTTAAAGGTTCCTTTATTTTGTAAGATGTAGTCAATTTCCAGTTCAACGAGTTTTATTTATTAGTTTGTAGTTTGCGAAGTATGATTCAAGTAGGTTGAAACAGAAATAATGGTGCAAATTCACCAACAGCCTACTGTAATCGCTGCTATTTAACACACATTAGTCTCCAAAGCGCAAGTTGTTGCATTGGTTCTTTCATAAGGATGTGCTGTCTCATGTTACATTTTATAGCTTAACAAGCAAAGAGTATTCTATTTTTTTCTTTATTACTTACAGTAGTACAGTATTGGGTTATAAGTTTCTTTTAACTTACGGGTATTGATGCAGGTAATTCTAGACATGAAAATTATACTGTATTCCATTCTTAAATCTAAAAAATGGCAACAAATAACAGTAGTTGTATTATTATTTCACAACGATGTGGTGACCCATGTCAAATTGTGTAGTTTAAGATGCAAACAGTAGCAATATTTTTTTATTGTTTCAATTTCTCAAATATGTTTTATGTAAGGATTTTTTGTTTCACAAACTTTAGTGCCTTTGGTATTTAGTAGTATTAAAAGTATACTGTATTGGAATCAAATTTGTTCAAGGATATAGTACATATACTATTAAGGTAAGAGAAAGGCATTTAATTTCTATAAAGAAGTTTATTTTATTATGTACAGTATATTGAAAATAAAAGTTAAATCAATGTACGCTTTATTCGCATTACCTCTGTATACTGCACTAAAAAATACTATTTAAACAGAGGAAAAATGTATTGGTGAATTGATATTTGATTTTAATTCATCCAGTAAACCAATTATGGACTACATTGGCTCTGACTGCTTGGCCTGTCCCTGCTACAGCTTCAGCTGGATTGTCAATCTCTCCATCATCGTCGACCATGTCGTGGGGAAGTGGTACCCTTCTCATTAAACAATAATTGTGAAGAAGGAAACATGCATTTACAATTTTGGCACATTTGGAAGGATCGTATTGAAGTGATCCACCAGAACGGTGAAGGCATCTAAATCGTGATTTTAGGACACCAAAAGTTTGCTCTACAACTACGCGGGTTTTGGTATGGCTGTTGTTATACCTAACTTCTCCAGGGGTTGAGGGGTTTTTGAATGGTGTCATGAGGAATGCCTCTAATGGGTACCCACTGTCACCTGGAATAACAGGAGTGATTAAAAAATAAAGAAATAAATGTACAGCTCAATAAGAAATATAATAAAAAAAAATTACAATGCCCTTGGGGGAATTAATCCCTCAGCCCACTCTTGTACCTATAAGCAAAAAACATATAAACTATATAGCTGCATTACCAAACAATGAGGCATAATGTATTTGCTTCCATATAAAAATAGCAATATAGCACAAATATTTTAACCATTTTTCAACAACCAACTGTAAGACAAATAAAGATATTAGGTGTGGGCCACTAATTATGTATGTGCCGTCAAGTGTCATAGCTTGGTTTAGGGAAAGTTATTAGGTTCAGCATAGGTTTATAAGGTCAGTGATGTCAAACTTAGCTGTAAAAGTGTACCGTTCCTTAATTCAACAAATGAATGATTTATCATGTACTGGGCAGTTAAGTAAGGTCCTCCTAGCATTAGAGCCTATGTTCCACCTAGTCACATTGATTAGCTGAAATAGGAAAAATCTTAACCGTGCCATTTAAACTTACCAATCAAATAATTATCACCAAAATCACCAGCCTCAAAGCGACGGCGAAGTAAGCAGTTGGCCCAGATGAAGGCGTCATGTTTACAACCTGAATACTTGGTGCTGTAGTTTGTGATCAACCCATCGGCATTACATACTACTTGTACATTGAGAGAGTGGTATCGCTTCCTGTTTACATATGTTCCTTCATTTTCAATTGGGGCTTTTATGGGTATGTGTGTTCCATCAATTGCACCAATGACTCTTGGAAGGTTTCTTATTCTGGCAAAACCTTGCACAGTTCTTGCTATTTGTACATTACCTGTTGGCATCTTTATTTCAAATCTTGCCCTTTCTGTGAGAATTTGGGTCACATCTCTAATAATTCTACTGACACTAGCTTGGGTAAGACCAACTGTATCACCAAGTATGAGGGCTTGAGCTGCCACCCTTCATGAGGGCCTGTGTGCCAGTAACAATTCCTTTTACTCTTATATATCACCATTGGTAGCGTGACGATAGGAGGCTCGTGGGTAGGTGTAATGATAGTATCAAGCAATAGGGAAGAAATAACGGTAAATACTGTAGGTAAATAATATACACAATTATACAAATACAAAGTTTATTTAAACATGAATATGAAATTAGAAGAAAGAATTGGTTTGTACTAACAGACGAAGTCTATTACTAGGCCCTCAGGCTCAACATACTCACACCATTACTGGGTGGACATATTCAATACCCTTCCAACCCTACGGGGTGGACATACTCAATAACACAACTATGATAGTCACTTAGCACCATAAATACTAGGCAACTGCCACTACAACACTCAGTCGTCAGGAGTGATACTCAAGCAACAGCCATGGGGTCCAGCCACCATGGAGTACTATCCGACGAACTCTGGAGATCCCAGTGGGTTAATTCCACCACACAAATATAGCCCTACTGAGGTAGACACTCATCCACCAATGATGGGGGCTGGTAGTGGTGTGTGGCTTGGTGGTCCGGGGTCACCTCGTGGACCGAGCGTTAGGGCCAGACGAGCCAGTTAGCTATAAAATGGTAGGGTGGTCTGAAAATTACTTTTAAGTCTCCACTGATCTTACTGACCTCGGACATGTTCCTCCCAGACATAGTGATACAACATCTCATCATATAGACACGCTCGAATATATGTAGGGGGACTCAGGTATAATGGAAGTACGGCACTTACTAACTAGTTAAATGCCCATTCTCACCAACCTAGTTTCCAGGAGTCCAATTCTACCCTCTATTCATTGATGAATTACCACGGTACCCTCTGACGTTGAAATTGACTTATAAACCTATTTTCATTCTCATTATTATCTTCACTTAACAATGCTTCACCTGAACAAAGTAATTAAAACGCTGATTACAAAGGAATGGATGGCAACAGGTCCCAGCATACAGCGTCTGCTCCCATAGACAAAGGCGGGGGAAACAGAGAAAACGGGGGACGTTTCCACTGGGGGACTCAGAAGGTTTTGTGGACGTTTGAGCGTAATATGAATCCTTAAGGTTTTCAGGTTAGCTCTTATCATGACCATTACAAAGCTTCCCCCTTCCCCAAGATTCATCATTATGCGGTAACGTTCAGAAAACACGTAAGTAGTGACATACATATTAAATCATTAATATAAAGTATAAATCCTCATACAAAACATTGCACAAATTATATCAATAAAAATAGAAAAATAATTCCCTACCGGTGGTCAGGATTAGGTACAAGAAATGGAAATCTGTTAACATACAATTAGAATGTGACACACCTTCATAAAAAAATATATTGGGATACATATTACAAAATAGCACCAAAAATAATAGCACATGGGGTTAGGTACATCATGTCATAATAATACTGAATGGCGGTAAATACATCATATCATATAATAATAAATGGTGTTACATACATCATATCATATAATAATAAATGGGGTCAAGTACATCATCATAGAATAATAATGATTTGAGTTAGATACCTCATATCCAATAATAATAATAATAAATGGTGTTACATGTTACAAAATACACCCTCACATCGGTAGATAAAATGCACACTCAAAATTTCCTTACAGAACTCAAATTTCAATGTTCATAAATTATGAAAGTTTCTTTTACGCGATTGGTCAAATGCTGACAGGACACACTGAGATTTAACATAGATTTCTCAAGCTAGGACATAGACGAACGGACCCCATCAAGTCAAAGGAATGATTTGTTGCCCTTAATCTAAAGAGTTATGTCGCACTCGCGAGAGGCAGCACCCTTCAAGGGACTCCGAACGAGCGGGTATTCCCAAGAATTCAATGCTAACGAAACGGTCCTCATGAGAACACCACCAAACCAAAAACTGTCTGTACTTATGGCATTTGCCATGTAGAAGTAATAGCACCATATTTATATGCCCGAATACTCCCTGAAAGTCACGAACTCTACACCTATATACCAACAACCCAGCCTACGTAGGACTTACCAACCAGAACTTGAGAACTCACCACTGGTATCTTTACTCATACTAGTAACAGATACCCTTCAGATGATTGCATAACTGCCAATACATCTTCCAATCTCTGTCTTTACTGCAAATTGACCCTTCCTCTGCAAAATACTTTTAATAAAAAAAAATCATCAGTTCTTTACCTATCTCTTTTCCACAGTTACTTATAACTGATTGTGCACTTCATTATCAACCAATGGGGGTCACTTAAAAGCTCACTGCTTTTAAAGATCCAGTCTCACCACTGGTTTTCTAATCCTTACGGGAAATCGGGGAGCAGGAGCAACTACTGTTCTCTCCTCATCCCGTATAGCATCTCTCTCATCAGGCTCTGATTCTGAGGAAGAATCATTAGGGGGAACCTGGATGTCATTTACATGGACAAACATATCTTTGTTGATACATCTTTTCACCTTTTCTGCGGCTCGTCGAATTACTTCTGTCTCATCTGAAAGGTTGGTTAACTCATACGCTGCACCATTACGTATTACTTCAGTTACTGTATATGGGCCCTTCCACTTAGCATTTAATTTTCTACTGGTACCTGGGATAGTAACTTCATCTCTCACCCAAACAGTTTCCCCTAGCTGTACTGTCTGATTGACTCTATCTCGGTTTGCTACGTTCCGGAATTCTCTAGACATTCGTTCAGAAGTTTCTTTAATTACTTTGTGAGCTTCTCTCAACCCTTCAGTACTCTCGTTTTCTATTATTGGTAACTCAATTCCCACTTGCCTCTGTGCATGCCGGGAGAAGAATGCGAAGTGTGGCTGCACTCCAGTCGTTGTGTGAACAGAAGTGTTCAACGCATATTGGGTCGGACCCAAGAATCGTGGCCAGCGACACGGGTTATCTTCACACATTATTGATAAAATGTTCTTAAAAGTTCGGTGCATTCTCTCCGTGATACTGTTACCTCGGGGGTGGTAAGGCAAGGTAAAATACACTTGAATGTTAGTTAATCGACAGAGCTCCCTGAATTGTGCGGCAGTAAATTCTCCTCCATTATCCGCAATCACTACTGTAGGACTACCGAAGACATTAACAAACTTTTCAAATTCACGGGTAACTTCTTGCGTTGCTCTTCGTGCGCAATGGATAGAAGTTAACGAACCTTGAGTAATGATCTATGATCGTTAACACATATCGGTAATCATTGATCCCGGAATGCATGTCCGTCAAATCCACCGAAATTCGTTCTAGTGGTTTGCTCACGACTGGTAATTCTTGCCAACGTTGCGTAAGTCCTTTAGTTCCCTTGAACCTTTGACACGTCTCGCATGATGCTACATAATCAACACAATCTTTACGATAGTTAGGCCAATAAAACAAATTAGCTACTCGGGTGATGGTCTTCCACCGTCCTAAATGACCTGAGGTGGCATTGTCATGCGCCAACTCTAATGCGGCTTTACGTAAATGTTGCGGGATTACGAGACAATACTTCAATGCTTTATCGAGTTGTTCTTTTACTAGGTACAATACTCCATTTATTACTTCAAAGCTATCAACGGTGGCCTTTGGGTACTTATGTTGCGGAATGTTACCTCCTGCTAAATACTGTTTTAACTCTTGCCACCTGGGTTCTTTTTGTTGTTCTTTACCAAAGTCTGCCTGTGTGAAACCTTCTAGTGTGGGAAATTGAGCGGCAGCATGGTCGTGCATGACTTTTCTCAAGGTTCTGACTGGTCGACTTAATGCATCAGCCACTACATTAGCTCTACCGGGTTTATATTCAATGTTATAAGCGTAATCTCTCATTTCTAAGATCCAACGGTTCATTCGCTGACTTTTGGTTTTCTTTCTAAAGACGGATGTTAGAGGTTGGTGATCTGTCTTAATTGTAAACTGCGTACCCCAAAGAAAATGATGGAAGAACCTGCACGCTAATACAATGCCTAACGCTTCTTTATCGGTGGTGGAATAACGAGTTTCCGCCGGCTTTAGCTTTCTAGAAAAATAACCCACTGGTCGTAAAGAGCCACCTTCTTGTATCTGATTAAGGGAAGCGCCTACGCAGAAATTGCTGGCATCACTATGCAGTTCGAAGGGTTTATAAATATCGGCCTTGACAAGAACTGGATATGAAGCTAGTGCTTGCTTTAACTTCTGAAATGCTTCTTGACACTCATTTGACCATGCAAAATCAACAGTCTGTTTCGTTAATTCAGTGAGGTACTAAAACTAAATGACACTCCAAAAAATTCATGACTTGTCAGAATATTAGTTAGTTTATAATCAGTTTTGGGTCAGGCTCAATGCCTCTCTCTGAAACTACATGTCCTAAGAATTTAACTTGCTTATGGCCAAATTGACATTTAGACAAGTTTAGTTTAATACCCATCTCTTCAAATCTCTCAAATACTCTGGTGAGTCTCTGCAACAAGGTGGGGAAGTCAGGAGCCCATACTATTACATCATCAAGATAGTTTCGTACCCAGTCTTCAACTGCTAATGGAGCTAATGCTCGGTTTACTTCTCGCGTGAAAACGGCAGGACTAGCTGAGAGCCCAAACGGAAGGCGTGTGAACCTCCATAGATTGTACCCATCGCTAAAAGTTGTTAGATCTCGGCTGCTGTCGTTAAGGATGACCTGATAATATGCATCCTTCAAATCTAATGTGGCATAATATTTATTTCCTGCAGCTTTCTCTACTAATTCGTCAATTCGTGGCAAGGGTTGTATGTCGACCTTCAAATGCTTATTGACCGCTCGAAAATCTAAGCACATACGCTTTGAACCGTTGGGTTTTGTTACCAGAACAATGGGGGATAACCAGGCGGCAGTCGATGGTTCAATGATATTACGATCCCTCATATCTGTTATCATTTCTTTAATTATTTCTTTTGCTTTCTCTGGGTGTCTATACTGTGGTCCTCGGACAGGTTTGTGGTTGGCGAGCTGAATGTTAGCGGGTATACCAGCAATTGACCCAATTTCATGTGGTCCTAAAACAAATAAGGAATCATGAGC